AGCTTCTCATATGCTTCTTCAAAGATCTTTAGAGTGGCTTGTACAGACTATCATCAGCATATTGGAGTTCTATAACAGATGTTGTGACCTTGCTTTTGGCTTTCAGTCTGCTGAGGTTAAATAGCTTGCCATCTGTCCGATAGATGATTTCCACTCCAGTTAATATGTATGTAGTCAAGACACTTCTACTTGAAGGCAGATATGGACACCGGGTCACCGTTTCTATTGAAAGTGCCTTTCTCTACCACCTTTCTTGTGGATTATCATAGAGCCAAATTGAAAAGGAAAGCATGGGGATGTTTCCTTCTAGAGTTGTGCCATCCTAAGTTTCCGACATTGCTTGGTGAAGCCCCCCAAAGTAGGTCGGAAAAGAGACACCCCCTCAACCCTTCAGAATCCAAATAGCCAGGAGGTTGGGACTCATCTTCTCTGCAAAGAGGGGAGACGCATGCTCCTTGCTGGTGTCACCCCCAGTTTGGGCAGCAGTTGATGGAGAACAAGACTTGTGGGTTTGGCAGCAGGATAGGAATCTGGGCATTTCCTCTCTGCCTGGTGGCATCTCCCAGCTAGCAGCGTGTTTCCATGGCAAGCTGAAGAAAACCAGGAGGAAAGCATCCCTCAGTCTCTCTCTGCAATGTGATGCAGGGTCAGTGATGGAAAAGGATTTTGCCCATCTGTTGGTAGATTTTTTTCCTGAAAGGGAAAATGTGCTTCATTAAGTGCCGTCTTGGAAATTGAAAATAATGAAGGTGTATTGTCGAAGGCTTTCATGGCTGGAATCACTAGGTTCTTGTGGGTTTTTTCGGGCTATAGGGCCATGTTCTAGAGGCATTTCTCCTGACGTTTCTCCTGACGTTTCGCCATAGATGCAGGCGAAACGTCAGGAGAAATGCCTCTAGAACATGGCCCTATAGCCTGAAAAAACCCACAAGAACATAATGAAGGTGGTTTTTCCTAAAGCAAAAGGTCTACAAAGTAGTTGCGAAATGGGTGCAATGGGTACAGCCATGAGAGAGTTGGCCTTGTGTTGTGGAAGGCTTTTATGACTGGCATCACTGGGTTGCTGTGAGTGTTCTGGGCTGTATGGCCATGTACCATGGACTATGGACTAGATGGCGGATGTGGTCTCTTACAGCTCTATTATTCTATGTGTTGTCAAAGGCTTTCATGGCCGCAATCACTGGGTTGCTGTGAGTTTTCTGGGCTGTATAACCATCTTCCAGAAGCATTCTGTTCTGACGTTTCTCCCACATCTATGGCAGGCATCCTCAGAGGTTGTGAGGTCTGTTGGAAACAAGGCAAGGGGGGTTTATATATCTGTGGAATAATGTCCAGGGTGGGAGAAAGAACATGTCCATACAGCCCAGAAAACTCACAGCAACCCAGAGTTGGCCTGCTTGCCTTTGCTGCTGTTTAACAATTGATGGAACTATTTCAGCATGCCTTGGCTCTATGGGCATGATCTCAACACAGCAACGCAGGAAGGAAAGAGCAAACTCAGCGGGAGACTTCCTGCCTTGCATCCACAAGATCGCAGTTATCTCCTTTTTTTAAAAAAAGTTATTAATAATATGACATAGCGGTATAGCATAACTACCGGTATTTGTCTTAACAGAAGACGCAAAGAACTCACCAGGCATATTATTTCCTCTGAAAGGAAGAATTGTCCAGGTTTATGTGAAATCTTTGCTTCACAGGTTCGCAGCATGAGAAAAACAGCAATGAATTTTGCTATTCAACTGAAGCATCTCTCCACAGGTCTAAATGCAACTGTGGAGGAGATGGAAAATCCCTGCTGTCATTGATGAAATTAATAAAAGGAAATGGTGCTGAAAAGGAACTTAGATCTGGCTGTCCATTTATATCATCTTGTACAGGAGAGGTTAGCTTTTCCAAAAGAGCAATTCCCCAATTTTGGGCTGCTTTTTTCAACCCAGGCCTTTTTTTGTGTGTCAGGAACAACTTGACAAACTGCAAGTCGCTTCTGGTGTGAGATAATTGGCCATCTGCAAGGATAGTGGCCAGGAGATGCCTGGATATTTTACCATCCTGTAGGAGGCTTCTCTCATGTCCCCACATGGGGAGATGGAGCTGATAGACAGGAGCTCAACCTGCTATCCTTGGATTCAAAGTGCTGTCAGTCAGCAGCCCTACCTTCACAAGGGTTTTACCCATTCGCAATCAGAGGCTCCAACCCAGGGCTGTGCAGCTACAAAACACCAGTGGCATCCCATCATAGTGGGATGTGTATTTGTTCCAAGATTTAGTATGAACTTTAAGGAAGTATTCAAGATGAGGCTAGGTAGAGGTTTCAGCCTAAAGCAGTATTTCTCAACCTTCCTTAATACAGTTCCTCATGTTGTGGTGACCCCCACTGTAATTATGCTACTGTAATGAATTGTAATGGGAATATTTGATACTAGCCGTCCCCTGCCACGCGTTGCTGTGGCCGACATGGGGGTTCTGTGTGGGAGGTTTGGCCCAATTCTATTGTTGGTGGGTTTCAGAATGCTCTGTGACTGTAGGTGAACTATAAATCCCAGCAACTACAACTCCCAAATGTCAAGATTCTATTTTCCCCAAACTCCACCAGTGTTCACATTTGGGCATATTGAGTCTTTGTGTAGAGTTTGGTCCAGATCCATGATTGTTTGTGTCCACAGTGATATCTGGATGTAGGTGAACTACAACTCCAAAACCAAAGGACATTGCCCACTAAACCCTTCCAGTATTTTCTGTTGGTCATGGGAGAACTGTGTGCCAAGTTTGGTTCAATTCCATCATTGGTGGGGCGCAGAATGCTCTTTGATTGTAGGTGAACTATAAGTCCCAGAAACTACAATTCCCAAATGACAAAATCAATTTTTTGAGTGAAGGACATACATTGGGTTGTTAGATGCCTTGTGTCCAAATTTGGTGCCAATTCCCCCAGTGGTTTTTGAGTTCTGTGAATCCCACAAACGAACATTACATTTTTATTTATATAGATGAAGGATGAATTTTCATTCACTGGACCAAATTTTGTACCAATACCTGATATGTGCAAATTGGGATATTGGTAGGGTTGGGGGGATTGATCTTTGTCATTTGGAAGTTGTAGTTGCTGGGATTTATAGCTCACCTACAATCAAAGAGCATTCTGAACTCCACCGATGATAGAATTGAACCAAACTTGGTACACAGAATTCCCATGACCAACAGAAAATACAGGAAGGATTTGGTGGGCATTGTCCTTGAGTTTTGGAGTTGTAGTTCACATACATCCAAAGAGCACGGTGGACTCAAACAATGATGGATCCTGACCTAACTTGGCTCGAATGCTGAATATGCCCAAATGTGAACACTGGTGGAGTTTGGAAAAAACAGATTTTGACATTTGGGAGTTGTTTGTTGTTCATTCGTTCAGTCGTCTCCGACTCTTCGTGACCTCATGGACCAGCCTACGCCAGAGCTCCCTGTCGGCCGTTACCACCCCCAGCTCCCTCAAGGTCAGTCCAGTCACTTCAAGGATGCCATCCATCCATCTTGCCCTTGGTCGGCCCCTCTTCCTTTTGCCTTCCACTTTCCCCAGCATAATTGTCTTCTCTAGTTGTTAGGATTTATAGTTCACCTGCAATCAGAGCATTCTGAACCCCACCAACAATAGAATTGGGCTAAACTTCTCACACAGAACCCCCACGCCTTGAAGGGATTTGCTGGCGCGAGCCTCCCTCCAGCCTCGCACGCTCTCCCTGATCCCGCATATGCACACCATCCTGCCATGCGCCCAGAGTGCCTGCTCTCCCCTCCCCACTTGAAGTCTCAGAACCAGCCCTTCCCTTGGCTGAGAGGCTGGCCAACCACAGTAGAGGAGGGCTTTTGGTGGGAGGATTCGCCAGGAGCTTGGTGTGTCAAAATTTGCCAGAAAATCAAGCATAACTCGGGTGGTGTGTCACTTTTGGGGCGGGGGGGGGGGAACCCATAATTTCGTTATATTTATAGTTTAAATAACAAAAATGTATAATGGTAATATATAACTGACACGCGTGTCCTAGGTTCGCCATCATGGCTCTAGACCCACTTTTCTATCCCCCCTTTCCACCCAACCTTTCCCTGTTTCCAGCCCCCCTTTCACACCTCAGTCGTTCCCCCTTCACCGGTTGCCCTTTCCCACCCGATTCTCTCCTACTTTTCCAGCCATCCCTTTTCCACCTCATTTTCCCACTTTTTCAACCATCCCTTCCCGCCTACCTGCGTGACCGCATCTCCGTATATGAACCCACACGATCCCTCCGTTCATCTGGAGAGGCCCTGCTCACAATCCCACCTGTGTCGCAAGCGCGTTTGGTGGGGACGAGGGACAGGGCATTCTCTGTGGTGGCCCCCCGACTCTGGAACTCTCTCCCCAAGGACATCAGAAAAGCCCCAACGTTGGCAGTCTTTAGGAAGAGCTTGAAGACCTGGCTGTTCCAGTGTGCCTTTCCAGAATAGGAAACTCCCAGCATCATGTCCCAAACGCACTTTAGCAGAGATTGAAGATTGCCTGCACATTGCACCTACCCTAAAATCCTTACATTTCACCTGTCATGTCCAGCACTTTTAATTTATTCATTACTTTTGGCCCGGCCCCAGTTTTAAATGTGTCATGCTGTATTGTTTTGATGTTTACTGTTATTGCTTTAATGTTTATTGGTTTGCTTTATGAGTTTTATTGTTGTATTTCTTATGCTGTTGTTTTTATTGAGGGCCTTGGCCTTTGTAAGCCGCACTGAGTCCTTCGGGAGATGTTAGCGGGGTACAAATAAAGTTTATAATAATAATAATAGTAATAATAGTAATAATAATAATAATTTCACCGTATTCACGTGTCACTGCTGATACTGGTCACGCAGACATAGGGATCCTACTGTATTGAACTAGGTGACCAATATTGTGATGGAGTATACATCCCAACATTGTAGACAGCAGTAGTCAGCAATGTCCAAGTTTCCTTTTCACTCGGTCTCTTCTTTCTTATGCAGGACAATTCGTGGATGAATTCCTGAGCTGGTTCTAGCCCCATTTGCAGCCAGAAGAACCTGAAGGTGGGAGGAGGACCGTGTCATGGACCAGCTGATGAACTTCCTCTACTTGAACTTCTCGGAGCAGCTGAGCCTGTTGGAGGAAAGCGGGATGCCTTGCAGCAACTCAGTGGGCAATGACACCTTCCTCATCATCGCCTACAGCACGGTCATTGCCGTGGGACTAATCGGCAACCTCTGCCTGGTCTGCGTCATCGTCCAGCAGAAGGAGATGAGGAATGTCACCAACATCTTCATTGCTAACCTCTCCTGCTCTGACCTTCTGGTGTCCGTGGTCTGCATGCCGGTCACAGTCATTTACACCTTGATGGACCGCTGGATTTTGGGAGAAGTCCTCTGCAAGGCCAGCCCCTTCTTTCAGTGTGTCTCCATCACCGTGTCCATCCTCTCCCTGGTTTGGATTGCTCTGGAGAGGCATCAGCTCATCATCAACCCGACGGGATGGAAACCAGGGGTCAACCACGCTTACTTAGCTGTCGCCCTGACTTGGGTGGTTGCTTGCTTCATTTCCCTGCCTTTCCTCTCCTTCACCATCCTAACTGATGAACCTTTCCAAAATCTAAGCCTTCCTTTTGACCCCTTTGCTGACCACCTGGCCTGTATTGAGCGCTGGCCGTCGGACCATCATCGCCTGGCCTACACCACCTTCCTCCTGCTTTTCCAGTATTGTTTACCTTTGCTCCTCATCATGGCCTGCTACTTCCGCATCTTCCTGCGCCTCCAGCGCCGTAAGGACATGGTGGAGCGGGCCAAAGACGGCTCCCGAGCCACCAGCCACAGGAGAGTCAATCTCATGCTGGCTTGCATTGTGGTCGCTTTCGCAGCCTGTTGGTTCCCCCTCACGGTCTTCAATGCCCTTTATGACTGGGACCACGAGAAGATCTCGGTGTGTTACCACAACTTCATCTTCTCCCTTTGCCATCTGGTAGCCATGGCCTCCACCTGCATCAACCCCATCATCTACGGCTTCCTCAACAGCAATTTCCAGAAGGAAGTCAAGGCCTTGCTTTACCGCTGCAGCTGCAGTAACGAGAAGGACAAATACGAGAGCTTTCCTCTTTCGACAGTCAGCACCGAGATCTCCAAGGCCTCGCTCCGCAGTGGGGTTGGCACCGTGACCCATGCATGATTACCAGCAAACCCACGTGGTGCCTCACAAGATCAGGTGGCTTCTTGCCATGAGTGAGACAGGGAGCATCTCTCTCCACTCTTTGTGCGTTTCTAATCCCTCTGGTAACTTTGCTTCCCATTTCATACCAAACTCACATCAGGGATCATCTGGAATTGCCTGGGCATCTGGCTTCAAACAGCAGTACAGACTGAGGTGGGGCTGGGGAAAGGAATGAATAGCCCATTGAGTTGGGGAGGGGGGCACATGTGGGTGGGTTCAAAGCCTGGTTTAGCTAGCTATAATCTCTCCTCCTTCTCCAACAGTCCAGATGTTTCATTCACCTTAACCATGAAGAGCTTGGGAAGCTTTCATCTTTCTCTGTAACCCCCAATGAAAAGGATGGAGTATGCAAAAAAGATGAGAAACAGCTCAGCAATGTAGAGCTTTTTTAGTCTCTAGAGAAGATTCAGCTTCTCCTTAATCATTTAAATGTTTCCCAAAGCCCCTCAGGGTTTTTAAAGTCCGTGGTTTACCTTTCCTTTTGAGGTTATCTCAGAAAGCGATCAGCACAAATTATCTCCCCTGAGAGAGGATGAATCAATACAGTAGCACAAAGTTTTGTTGAAAGATTGCCTTGAGCACAGTTCCCTAACCCATAACCATAGAGTAGGATGGGTAATTTAGTCCAATCGTTGCCATATACAACTGAAACACCCCCAAAAGATGGTTGTGCAACCCCTGGCAGAGAAGGTGACTCCACCTTTTCCATGGCAGGATATTCCATTGTTTTGTTTTGTTTGTTTTTTTCGTTTCAAGAGTGACTTGAGAAACTGCAAGTCGCTTATGGTGTGAGAGAATTGGCCATCTGCAAGGACGTTGCCCAGGAGACTATCCTTTTACTATCCTTGTGGGAGGCTTCTCTTATGTCCCCGCATGCGGAGCTGGAGCTGACAAAGGGAGCTCATCTGCACTCTCCCCAGATTCGAACCTCCAACCGGTTGGTCTTCTCTCAGCACAAGGGTTTAATCCATTGCGCCACTGGGGCAATATTCCGTTATTGAACAGGAAAGATATTTTTGCTATTAGATGTCAATACTTATGAGCTGATAATGCTACTACTGCACATTTTTATAAGATCTGGACCTCCTATAAATGCAGCAATAGTATAAACCTGGTGGGGATGCAGGTCTGCGTAAATAAGATCTTTACCACATCCAAAATATTTCAGATAAGAGATATTCAACCAGTACTGAGTTCAAAGTCATATTTGCACTCAATTCAACAAAAAGAAGGTGCAATCTTGCACTTCCCAGTTGGCTCAGGCAAAAGCAAACTCCAGCACACTCCTTGCTTTTATTTATTTCCTCATTAATAACTTTGTCATCTTGACCACATTCTAACCTTATTTTTATGGACTACAATTCCCAGAACCCCTCATTCAAAACAGCCACCCGGCCTGCAAAAACAGGTCCCTGACTGAGAAGATAATGCCTCAGAAACAGATGTGAACACCTAGGACCTCATCACACTAGAGAATGGATCCACTTTAAATCCAGTTTCTGCCACCTGCAGAATTCTGGGGTTTGTAGTTTAGGGAGGAGCCTGTAACAGCCTCACTAAACTACAAACCCCAGAATTCTGAAGGTGGCAGAAACCGCATTTAAAGTGGATTCATTCTCTAGTGCAGTGTTTCTCAACCTTCCTAATGCTGCAACCCCTTAATACATTTCCTCGTGTTGTGGTGACCCCCAATCATAAAATTATTTTCGTTGCTACTTCATAACTGTAATTTTGCTACTGTTATGAATCATAATGTAAATATCTGATATGCAGGCTGTATTTTCATTCACTGGACCACATTTGGCACAAATACCTGATACGCCTAAATTGGAATATTGGAGGGGTTGGGGGGGTTGATTTTGTCATTTGGGAGTTGTAGTTGCTGGGATTTATAGTTCACCTATAATCAAAGAGCATTCTGAACTCCGTCAATGATGGAATTGTACCGAACTTGGCACACAGGCCTCCCATGACCAACAGAAAATACTGGAAGGGTTTTTGTAGGCATTAACCTTGAGTTTTGGAGTTGTAGTTCACCTAAATCCAGAGAGCACAGTGGATTCAAACAATGATGGATCTGGATCAAACTTAGCACAAATACTCAATATGCCCAAATGTGAACACTGGTGGAGTTTAGGGAAAATAGACTTTGACATTTGGGAGTTGTGATTGCTGGGATTTATAGTTCATCTACAATCAGAGATAATTCTGAACTCCACCGATAGAATTGAGCCAAACTTCTCACACAGAACCTTCCTGCCTTGAAGAGATTTGCTGGAGTGAGCTTCTCCCTCTCCCTCAACCGCACATGTGCACCATGCTGCCATGTACCAAGCACACCTGCTCTCCCCTCCCCACTTGGAGTCTCAGTAAAGCTCTCCGCTTGGCTGAGAGCAGAGGCGGCCCTAGATCATTTTCGACAGTAAGCAAACAGTATTTTGGCGTCCCTCCCCCCCCCCAACCAATCACTGATATATATTTTCTGTTCGTCGTGGGAGTTCTGTGTGCCATATTTGGTTCAATTCCATCATTGGTGGAGTTCAGAAAGCTCTTTGATTGTAGGTGAACTATACATCCCAGTTACTACAACCCGCATATGTCAAGGTCTATTTTCCCCCAAGAGCACCCCAAGAGCGCCCCTGGGCAAAATCAACTATTCTGCAAATGCTTACTTTGCGTAATGGGTTGAGCCGCCCCTGGCTGAGAGGCTGGCCCATCACAGCAGAGGAGGGCTTTTGGTGGGATAAATGCTGTCTGTTTCCAAAAAGGAAGTGAAGGGCAGGTGGAGAGATCTTCAGCTTTCTCTGCCAAAGGGGTTCCTAAGACCATCAGAAATATATGTTTTCTGACGGTCTGTGGTGACCCTTCTGAAACTCCCTTGCAACCCTCCTCCCCAGGGGTGCTGACCCCCAGGTTGAGAAACGCTGCTCTAGTGTGATTTAATATCTAGAATCCCAAATACAAATTCTGGCTCCTTTAAATCATGAACGTCACATAAATGTATAAGTGCAATGTCTCACCACAGCTCCACTTAAAGAGCAGATCAGACAAGTGACAGTGTGGCCGCCTGTCAGCCCGTCATATCTTTCCTACACTCAAAATAGCGCAGATGGCATATTAGCTGTCTTTATTTGCTTATGAGCTTGGCACATTCAAAAATATCATTGGTTTCAGCAAAAATTCCTCTCCGTACACCAGAGAGATCAGACACTCATGATTTTAAAGTTGAGAGCAAGGTGAATCACTTAATTCCAGAGAAGGGGGTCCACTGAACCGTTCCAAATAAGGACTTTCGCAAAACCTGCAATGTGCGGGCACCTCCTCTTCCTTGTTTTTCAGAGTGTCTGCTTTGGTTCCACATTCGTTGGCACCCACCACCCAGGTTTGCTGGCAAAGTGAATGAGGATATGGGTGGCTGTGAGTTTTCTGGGCTGTATGGCCATGTTCCAGAAGCATTCTCGCTTGATGTTTGCCCACATCTATGGCAGACATTCTCAACCTCTGAGGATGCCTGCCACAGATGTGGGCGAAACATCAGGAGGAAATGTCGAAGGCTTTCATGGCTGGAATCACTAGGTTCTTGTGGGGTTTTTCGGGCTATAGGGCCATGTTCTAGAGGCATTTCTCCTGACGTTTCGCCTGCATCTATGGCAAGCATCCTCTGAGGATGCTTGCCATAGATGCAGGCGAAACGTCAGGAGAAATGCCTCTAGAACATGGCCCTATAGCCCGAAAAAACCCACAAGAATCAGGAGGAAATGCTTCTGGAACATGGCCAGACAACCCAGAAAACTCACAGCAACCCATTGATTCTGGCCATGAAACCTTTAACAACACATTGAATGAGGGAAACCCGAGCCCACCACTGAAAATCCTATGAAGTGGAGAATTGGTTGATGTGATGCCATTGCACACCGGATTCCTGTCTTTGCTCTCTATGAAATGTTGCTAATTGAAGGCATCAAAACATCTGGGGAAAATTATTTTGGACAACAAATTCCATTTTTGGTGGGAGATTCTGGGAACTATACCTGAAAAATAACCTTCCTGAGATGTGGATGTTACCTTAGGTTACAAGAATTTTTGCAGTTGTGTGACTTCAATTTGTTTCCAACCGGAAAGCAAATCTATCACATTTTCTAAGGCCAAGGGAACGTGACTCACCCCATGGTTTTCATGGCTGAGCATTGATTCAAACCTCCAGAGTGATAGTCCAGTGCTCAAACCATTTTCCCATCCTGAAAGGAAGCACGTGGTTGTTAATTTCAGCTGCAGACAAAAAACATTCTCATATCTCATATAGATGCAACCTTAGGCAAATTAGCTTTCCCACTTTAGTGCATCCAGCTCTGTAGCTATACATGCCTTATTTCAGACAGGCATAAGCAACACCATTCAAACTGCAAGAAAAAAGGGAAACAAAGCCTCTACAGCAGTGTTTCTCAACCTTCCTAATGCCGTGACCCCTTAAAACAGTTCCTCATGTTGTGGTGACCCCCCAACCATAAAATTATTTTGTTGCTACTTCATAACTGCAATGTTGCTACTGGAATGAATCATAATGTAAACTAAATATCTGATATGCAGGATGCATTTTCATTCACTGGACCAAATTTGGCACAAATACTTGATACGCCCAAATTTGAATACTGGTGGTGTTGTGGGGGGATTTATTTTGTTATTTGGGAATTGTAGTTGCTGGGATTTATAGTTCACCTACAATCAAAGAGCATTCTGAACCCCACCAACAATAGAATTGGGCCAAACTTCCCATAAAGAACCCCCATGACTTGAAGTGACTTGCTGGCGTGAGCCTTGCACGCTCTCCCTCGCCCAAACATGCGCACCACGCTGCCATGCGGTGAGCACGCCTGCTCTCTCCCACTTGGAGTCTTAGAAACAGCCCTCCCCTTGGCTGAGAGGCCAGCCCATCACAGCGGAGGACGGCTTTTGGTGGGAAGCTTTGTCCTCTGTTTCCAAAAAGGAAAAAAGGACAGGCAGAGAGATCTTCAGCCTTCTCTGCCAAAGGAGTGCCTAAGACCATCAGAAGTAAGTGCTTTCTGGTGGTCTTTGGCGACCCCCGTGAAACCCCTCTGCGACCCTCCAAGGGGTCTTGACCCTCAGGTTGAGAAACACTGCTCTACAGAATATGCAACATTAAGAATAAAATCAGAAATTAAGAATAATGTGCATTCACTGCAATAAGCCCGTAGAAACCTTCCCACTGTAGAATTTCCCCAGAGCTTTCATGGCTGGAATCACTAGGTTGCTGTAAGTTTTTTCGGGCTATATGGCCATGTTCTAGAGGCATTCGCTCCTGACGTTTTGCCTGCAAAATCTGGCTACCAGTATTAAAAAACTCTAAAATTACAACAGCAAAACAACAGAGGGGAAACAATCAAGGACATCTAATCACCTCTCAACAAAAGTTTGCCCCAGGCACTGCCAGGCCAACAAATGCTGATCAAGGTGGTCAGTTGCAACATTCACATCTAGCTCCAACAGACAGGAGTCCTTTGTCCCACCCTGGTCATTCCACAGATATATAAACCAATTTTCCTAGTTCCAACAGACCTCACTACCTCTGAGGATGCTTGCCATAGATGCAGGCGAAATGTCAGGAGCGAATGCCTCTAGAACATGGCCATATAGCCCGAAAAAACTTACAGCAACCTGAGTTTATCTTCCTGTGATTAATCCCAAAACTGAAGCATACTAATGCAAAACGTATCATCAGAAGCAATTGGGTGCTATGATAAACAAGACAGACACCTTTCACCACTTCAAGGAGCACCTCTTTTGAAAACGTGTGCAAAAATATCACTTTGATTCTTCAGCTTTTTAATTTTAAGGTTCAAATCATGGATTTTAAAGATATTTTATCAGTATTCTATGTGCTCTGTGAGTCATTCTTAGATCTATTCCTTTCCTGAAATATTTGCTTTTGGTTGGAATAGTTATTTCTGCCATGTTTTCTTTCACTATTTTGGTTCAGGTCATCTTCTTATTTGGTTTTTGGCTTTAAGAATGGATTTGGTGCAGGTCTTTTGATCTGTGGGTTTTCATCCTGGTCAGAAAATCAGTAATGAGAAATGTATTTTCGTACCAAATATGTTTTCAAATAGTCTGAACCTAAGAAGTTGCATAAAGAAGCACAATGCCCAGGGCAAGGATGGAGAATGTGCAAACTGCTCAGTGTTGCAATTCCTTCCATGTTCAATTAGCATGGCCAAAAATCAGGATATATCGGGGTTGTCATCCATCAAAATCTGAAAAACCATTGATCCCACCCATATTTTCAGCAAAGAGCTTAGTGGTTTGGGAGGATATTCATTCTATCAGTCCCATACTTGATCAATTTCTGATCCATCCCTCAAGTGATCCTCATGCTCTGGCAAAAATGCTGCAATGTTTGGGATGCCAAAATGATATCAGGGATTTCCGCATCCCAATAACTACTGTTTTTGTGGATGTTACTGAGCAAGTGGTGACATTTATAAGCCTAAAGCAAATCTTTTGGAACCGTCATCTATGTTAACAGTGTGCTTCCGATCTTTCAATATCAGCTGAATGTATTTAAAACTTGTGATCTTTTACTATGACAATGGCTGGCTGGCTCCTCAATCTCTGGCCAGGGAAACTTTCTAGCAAATGGATGTT